CCCATGACGTTGAACATGCAAAAATTGTTTAACTTCTAATGGCTCGTCAGTCTTCCTCGCTGAGAATTTCGTCCTGGAATCATGACGGGTTAACGAGCAGAAAGTTGGAAGTGGTGGACATCCTGAATCGTCTAGACATAGAAGTGATGACCATCTAGGAAACCAAACTCAGCGAGACCTCCCGCCTCTCCATCTCCGACTACGATATTTAGACATGACAGAAACCACAATGGGGGTGGCGTTGCACTCATATTAAAGAAGTGCATCATCGACCACTATCCGCTGAGCGGCTTTAAACTCAAATCACCGAGGCCTTGGCTATAAGGGCGAGATCGCTATGGCATGGAGACGTTGCGGTAGTGTCCTGTTACCGTGCTCCCAGACTAAACACAGACCTAGACCAAATTCTATCCTGGACCCAATCGATTGCCATAGGGGATTTCAATGCAAAGTCCCTCATATGGCATAGCAGGACCAATATCGCAAGAGGTCAAGCCCTGCTGAACTACCAAAACGCACACAACGACATAACAATCCTCGGACCCACAGAACCCATGTATTGCAGACTTATCGGCTGTACTAGAAATAGCCATCTTAAAATCCATGCCGCTAATTGTCCAAAAGGGAGGCTCACGGACTGGGGTCGTTTCTGAGCAGAAACTGCGCTCCCGGTCATTGAAACCACCCACAACCTGGAGGCAGCAGTCCTTACTCTAGAGACAGACATTAAAAACGCACTGACGCAAACCACGACAGAGATAATAGTTCCCCGACAAATCTCAGAGGCATGCTCCCTGAGACCATCAGACAACTCATACGCAACAGACGACACCATAAACGGCTTGCCATCCGCACCTGCCACCCTCAATACAAAAACGATTTAAACATACTGAACAAACGGGTGAAAGCGACCCTCACACTTGTAGTCGCTGGATTCGCAATACAATAGTTTCTGGAAAACGCAGATTGTCCTGCGAATGCCCGCCCGAAATCGCAGAATTCAGTCAATCCACGACAGCAGGGGGCAAGTAGTGTATACGAACCAGAAATTGGCCGAGGTTTTTGACAACACCCTGGAACTGCAGTGTAGACTGCCCCAACTGCCCGACGAGGACAAGGAATTCGAAGCGGAGGTCGAGCGCGCAGCCCGACGCGTTGACAGAGAGCCAGACAATAATATTATCCAACTGGCAACCCCAGACGAACTCAGACAAATAATATACCTAAAAAACAGAAAAGCGCCGGGCCCGACCAAATACACAACACTACACTAAAAAGGCTACCCCATACAAAGGCCTCATGGCTCTGTTCAACATAACAAATGCCACATTTAAACTCAAGACATTTTCGTAAACGCTGGAAAACAGCAAACAATACTTATCCCCAAACCCAACAAAGACCATATCTTCCCATCCAACTACTGACTAATCAACCTACTCCCGGCTGTGAGCAAAGTGGTAGAAAAAATAATCCTTACCTGCCTAAAACCCCACACTGAAGAAATGCGAGTCATTCCTGACGAACACTTCGCTTTTCACCCCAGTCACTCCACAGAACTCCAAATCCTACACCTTGCAGGGCACATCACGGTGGTCTTCAAAAGGGAGCTGTCTTCTTGGATGTCGTAAAGGCCTTCGACACAGTTTGGCCTGAAGGACTACTTCATTTATATTATTAATGAACAAAACAAACAGTAACGGACCAAGTGTAGAACTCTGAGGTACTCCAGACCAGAGGTTGCTACGTAAGAGGTAGAATCAAAACCATTGTAACTAACATATTGCATCCTCTTGTATAAGTAGGACTTAATAAAATCAATAAAATCATTAGAAAAACCAAAGTTTGTAAGTTTATAAAGTAAAACCTTGTGATCTATCCTATTAAAAGCCTTTGAAAAGTATAAAACAGATCTACCTATCCTCTATTATCTAAAACTTGGGTGATATATTCAGCAAAGACAGCTAAATTGGTAACAGTTGACCTACCACTAACAAATCCATACTGGTATGGAGAAATTAGGTTGTGAACGATTATACAGAACTATTTCGAAGACCTTGGAATAATTAGAAATAATTGATATTGGTCTATAGTTTTCAACTTTAGACTTGTCTCCATTTTTAAAAACGGGACAAACTCTGGCCTCTTTCCAGCGATTTGGAAATGTTCTAGTTTTTAAAGTCAGATTAAATAGTCTACGTAAGGGGCGGGCTAAAATTGCAGCACAATCTTTCACAATAAAAGAAGGAATATTATCAGCCCCAGACGTCATTTTGTTCTTTAATTTCTTAATAGCAGCAAATACTTCAGTTTCTGTAAATGCATCTAAAACAATGTTATTGCCGCAAGAAATGGAAGAATAATTCAAAAAGTCATCATCCAATTGCAAAGAGACACTACTAAAAAACTCAGAAAAAACATTTACAATATCAGACTCTGTATTATCGTACTGATTGTTATACGAGACTTCCCCTGGTATCATCGGGTTCCCCATTCTAGATTGTACATAAGACCAAAAATATCAGAGATTTTCAGATATAGATGATTGAAGTTTTTCTATATAGTTAAAATAAGCAAATAATATTTATTTGATTCTTAATTAATGGTCGCACGCGTTTATATTTTTGGAGAAAGAAATCACTCTTTGTCTTTTTATACTTATTGAAAAACATTCTTAGTTTTTATATTTTTTATGATATCCGAGCTAAACCATAGAGGGTACTTATGTTTAAATGTTTTATATAGTGGCACATTATCATCACATATTCTGTACAACTTGCAATAAAATTGGTCTACAGCAAAATCAATATTGTTAAATTCAGACAAAAATTGCCAATCAGCTTAAAGACTGAATTATACAGACATAAAATTTGCTTTTTTAAAATTGCACCTTTTTTATGTAAATTAGGTAAAAAGTTAGGCTGAAGAGTAATGCTTTTATGAAGGTACATAATAAACGCGGGTAGCAGGGGAGTATTATCTCTTTTAACATTACAAGTAATATTGCCAATGACTAAATGCTCACAAACCATTATCCCATAATCTTTACCAAACTCATCAAGTCCTACAACTACCACAAACAAAAATTCAAATCCAAGACACCTCCACAATACAATCCATGGAAACGGGCACCCCCAAGGCACCGTCCTATACTCATATCACTACACTATATACAACTCCGACATACCGCACCAACAAACACAAACACTTACTTATACATCGACAACATGACTATAACCGCACAACCCACGAACGCAAAACTCTCCACTACCCTCCTTCAAAACTCATTGGACCAATTTGAAACCTGGTGCTAGAGGTGGAAAGTCAAAATTAACCTCGACAAAAGCACCGCACCGTTATTTTTGGNAACCCTAAACGTTAATTTCTAGGTACCCCTTTGACCCCCCATAACTCCGTTAGGGGGCACATTAGGAAAAAAAATTATAGGAAGGACTAGTTTTATTTTGACCTCCCCTATACACTCCCGAGAGATTAGGTACTTACCGGACACCCTGTATACAACTCCGACATACCGCTCCCCCAAACACAAACACTTACTTATTCATCGACAACATGACTATAACCGCACAACCCACGAACGCAAAACTCTCCACTACCCTCCTTCAAAACTCATTGGACCAATTTGAAACCTGGTGCTAGAGGTGGAAAGTCAAAATTAACCTCGACAAAAGCACCGCACCGTTATTTTTGGCGATGTTGGTGGCTTAAATGGTTTGCGGCCGAGAAGGACTATCCCTCTTTGTTCTGCCTCATCGCTGTAGGCCTGGACAACCTCGTGAAGGTGGCCGCATCCGTCGTCGACCCCGACCACAAGCGTGGCCGATGTCTGGAGTTATCTTCTTGGATGTTGTAAAGGCCTAAAGCGTGGCCGATGTAGGCACTTTGTGGACCTCCTCTTGTCCTGGCTGACCTCCGCCGGCAGGAGGTCTCTTCTGGCACTCTTGTTGTTGCTTGGAACAACATTTTACATTCAACTTTGTTCTAGAAAAAACATTCCTCTTTTTCTATTCTTTATAATCTACAGAGTGTTAATTAAGTATGCACAATAAATTCAACAGACGATTATTTGAGTAATTTTAAGACAAAAAGTTCATATAAACATTGGTCCGCAGATGCTTTGTTTTCAAGATACAATGTGTTAAACTTTTGTAAAAAGATTGTTATTTCGTAAATATCTTAATACCCTTTATCCAATTTTGTTGTAATTTGGCAGTGTTACCTGTAGTGTTAAAGGGCTAGTTTAACCCTAACTTGATTAGATTTGTTACGTCCAGTAGCGTCTCGAGTGATACCTTAACGAATATTTTTAATGTTTCTTGTGTGGTCCAGGGATATTGAATTAAGTGGATTTTATTTTTTTTCTCTAAATATTAACCAAGATACGAAAAACATTGAAGATATAAAAAAGTTGTATTTTTAGTTGCTTAATCTAAAAAAAAAACATAAAAATTACAAAAATGTTAATGGTACACATTTTTTTTGTCAGAAATATTCGTTAAGGTACCACTCGGGACGACACTGGATTTAACAAATCCAAGTTAGGGTTATTTAGTTAGGGTTAAATTAGTCCCTTAACACTACAAGCGACACTGCCAAATTACAACAAAATTAGATAAGGGTATTTAAGATATTTACAAAATAGCAATTTTTTACAAAAGTTTAACACCCTGTATCTTGAAAACGAACCATCTGCGGACTTATATTTATATGAACTTTTTGTCCTAAAATCACTCAAATAATCATCTGTTGAATTTATTGTACATACTGAATTAACACCCTGTATATTTACATTAACATTCTCTGTAATTATTTCTCACTGCGTTCTTATTGAGATCATTCCCCATTTTTGTTTATTTGTAGCTATCCCCAGTCCCTTTGCATAGAGATGTACACAAGTAAATTCAGCAATAGATAATGTAAGACCTTAAGGCATTGACTACATACAGAAATATAAATAACTGAAAATTATTATGTTTATTGTTAGAAATATTTATCAAAGTATATTAAACTATTCAGACCTATTATTTACTGACTTTGAAAAAAAATTACATCGTCAGCTGCTATAGCAGTCGTGCTCTTAGATTTTCCATCTTCTCCTGTTATTTCGCCATATGTGATTCTGCCTGTAACATGAACCCTCTGGCCCTTTTTCAAATAATTTAATATAGTCTCTCGAAGACCTGGTTTAAAACATATCACTCTATGCCATTCCGTCCGTTGTAAAAATTCTCCTGTTTCATAACGATAGTTTGAATGGGTAGCTAAAGAAAATACTGCTACAGGATGATCATTTGTTCCTTTCTTTTGTGGATCTGCACCTACCCTTCCTAGGAGTTGTACACTATTGATAGCTAAAACAATTTAGTTGAAATATCAAAACTTTAACAAATATAACAACATACTTTTTTCAATCTTGGCTGGCTCCTGTGTTGTCATAGACAAATTCTGTTGATATATCATCATATTACCCCCAATAACTCGAAGAGTTCCTGTTTTCAAAACCTAGAATTAGAAAATAACTATTAAACTCAATCAGATGTTGAAAATAAATAAATATCAAAATTATAAAAATGATTGGTAAGCCTTTTTATAATCTATTTAGATTTTAAACAAAGCTGTTCCTATTTTTAAATAATTATACAAATTTTTGGTAAAACATTTTTCTTAAAGAGCATATTAAAACTCAGTTCCCAAAAAGTTTGGCAATACCCGTTTTTATGATGCACTTCGATGATATGGAATCTGGTAATCAAAAGTTCATTATAAATGTTAAAATAAGAAAAACATAAACTTCAGTGTTAAAATCTAAATTATCCAAACGCGAATTTGCATTTTAACCTTAGCTCACAAGTATCTGTAGGTTTTAAATATGGCATTGAGGATCCCATCACCAATCTTCCAACCAACTTTTTATTTTAATGTCAGTAAAATTTGAAAGCAATTTACAACACTTCGGATTTTTTTCATACAAACCAATAACAAAGTAAATGTTTTTAAAAACAATTTCTCTGTGGAACAGATTACCATTCTAAATAATATATGATATAGTTTTCTTTATATATATATATATANATGGTTGGGTAGGGTAGTGCGGCTATGCAGCCTGGGATGCGCTTTGCTAAGGTGGCCCTTAGGCTAGATATATATATATATATACAGGGTATCTCACCAGGAATCGCCACTATCGATATCTCGGAAAGTTCTGATCCAATAAACCTGACAATTTGGCAACATAGCAAAGAAAGTAGGGCCAACACAGCTTTAGAACTTTATGGCGCTTCCGGTTAAACCAGAAGCCAACATTAACTTTCTTATTTTAAATGGAACACCCTATATATTATTGCATTTTCGTATTCTACGTGAAATTTGAGGGTCACTTTATTAAATATTCCCTATACCTAGAAATTATAGAGATAATTTTTAAAGAAGAAATTTGACAGATGCAAAGATCCATAGAGATGCTAGTAAGTCTTTTCAGGAGTGTGATATCAAGGGAATTTTTGGAACTGAGAAAGGGCATAATTAACAGTACATTATGGTATATCAACAAATTAAAACATTTAATATTAGATGTTTCATTTTGCTAACTTTTATTTTAATAACTTCAAACTTTGTTAACTTAAATGGAACACCCTGTATCTTTTTACTCTTTCCTATGCAGATTGAAATGTTCTTTCAAGCCATTGTTACAGTTACTACTTTTAGAGATATTTGCAATTTTCCATTTTTTGGACAGCTTTTCTTGTATCAGGGCTGTTATCAAATTGGCCATGACCGAAAACACTCCAAAAACAATTAAAATAATTTGATATTTGTCAAGTTAGTTGTCAAATTATTATTTTGTCTGTAAGTTTTGCGAAAATTTAAATAAAAATGAAAAAATGCCTGAGGATTGTTTAAATTATACTAATGAGGATTATTTTAATTTATGGACAATGTGACAAAGTAATTTCAAGAACATGTAGAGAATTTGTTGCTTTGCACATTGTTCATAAATAACAAACAAATTAAAATAATCCTCATTAGTATAATTTAAACAATCCCTAGGCATTTGTATTTAAATTTTCGGCAAAAACTATTACAGACACAACAATAATTTGATAACTAACTTGACAAATGTCAAGTTATTTTAATTGTTTTTGTTTAATAGACACTTTGCTGAGGGGAAATGTCACATTTTGAAATTTTTTGGACGCCCTGTATGTTTTATTACATATTTGATTTACTGCCCATGGCTTCCCAAGATAAGCGAAACTTTTTATCAAGAATATCTTTTTCTCGAAAAATCAATAATAAAATAGGTTATAAGAGTGCGTTACCCCATACGGGGACACACTTTATATACAGGGTGTTTGGATTTATAACCGATTTTGATGAAACTTATGATAGTTAAAGACTCTTATGGTATGATTATTACCTACAATTTTCATTCCATTATCTTAATCAGAGTTATTTTAAAAAATATCCAAATGCAAGACACCTTTAGAGGGCCATATCTCAGTAACGGTACTCCGGAGGACCAATATTTATAGGGACTTTTTTTACTATTTTTGGCTCTGCTTTCACCTCCTCAAATTTTGTACCAAATTTTCCAAACACCCTGTATATACCTGAAGGGAGATTATATTCTACTAACCTGGCCTACTACGAAGGGGTCGTTTTTCCAAAAACTGGTATTAGACATTTTTTTATCAAAAAGGTAATGTTACCAGGGTCATTCAACACCCATCAAAATACCCATATACAAAATTTGATCGACAAATGTCAAACTTGGAAAAGTCAGAAAACAAAAAATTATAATAAGCAGGTCAAAGATTGCCACGAAAGTGAAAACAAGTACTAATCAGACAATGAAAAAATACAGACACTATAAATTTAACACTGTTTTAATTACACAGTAGAAATAATAATTAACATACAAAAAATTGCAATCACACAGTAGAAATAATAATTAACATACAAAAAATTGCAAAACGTCAATCTAAATTAAATTTTAGTTTTCTCCACCAAACCTCCTCCGGTCGAACACATTTTTCCAATTGCCTGTTTAATTTAAAAAAACTTTACATAGCTTATATTCTGTAAGGATATTCTTCCATAATTGAAAAAAATAGAGATTGTTAGATTAAGGGGTGAACATTTCGATAGTTTTATAGAAGTTGCAGAAATCTTCAATGAGAGGCACCAGAATAAAAACATATCTTACATTACTGTTCGCAGGGTCAACCAGTTGTTTGATGAAACTGGTAAGAAATTTAGTAATTAATATTTAGTATGTATTTGATTGTCAAACTTCTTACTAATTATAGGTACAGTATCCAAAAAACACAAAAGAACTGTTGTTCCAATAAATCGACAACAATTAATATTCCAATATTTTCGTAATATCTCAAAAAGTATTCTCCAAAACAAAATTCATCGTTGTCTAAAAAAACATAATATAACACCGTTTAAGCCCAAGTTTCTTCAGACATTGGAAGAAGCTGATGAGGAAAGGGGAATGGAATTTTGTTTGCGGGAGGAAAATTATTTAAATGATCATTTTCTAGGCAATGTTATTTATACTGATGAAGCTACCTTTATGACAAACAGAGTCTTATCTTCTCAAAATATCAGATTTTGGTATAAAAATAATCCTAATTTTGTAATTGCAGCAAAGAAACAATATTCACAAAAAGTCAATGTGTTTTGTGGAAGATATTCGAGGGACCTAATAACCCCAGTTTCCGTAACTAAAAAAAATAAATTTCTTGATTTCGGAGATATTGGCAGCGGGAGTGTTAAATGGCACACCCTGTAATATATAAAATTTTTTTGTTGCGGCATCAGAGTTGAGATAATTTAAATCATTTGATTAGAATTCAAATAATCAGTTTTAAGTCACAAATTTTGAGGAAAATGTTATGTAATGAAACAATTTAAAAATAAAAAGTAAATTTTTCTATTAAAATACATACATTTTCAAAATAATATTTTCCATTGCATAAAACAGGGACATAATGACTTGAAAAAATATACGTGTATTTTGTAACTATATACCAACTAATCCTCGTATTTATTTTATCCTGTAACTTTCAGTCCTAAAATTTATTGTATCTGTGGGTTATTAAATGATATTTATCAAAATATGCTTTGGTCACATTTTATATGTAATTTATTGACTAGGTTTAAGTAAAACTGTAATATGATTTCATGTCGACAACCCAAATCAAATTCATACCATTATCTACAAGGAAAAATGTGAAACAAATGAAAGAAAAAACTATCACCATGTACAATTAAAATTTAAACTAGCTAATATTATATACAACAGCGAGCAGTCTACATATTTCTTGTTTGTATAAATAAACTAACCTTTCTTGAAATCATGTTTTCAACAACCTTTATTGTCTGAATGCAACAATAACGTAAAAAACATCTGCAATTTAAATTCCAACTTACAATATACCCATAATAAAGTATACTAAACAACTAAACACAGATATAATAATTATGAAAAAATCACAAAATCGAAGTTAAAAATATTAAAATCGTCAACCAACAATGACCATTGACCAGTAGTAAAGTTAGGAGTTAGGTTAAGTTAAATCCCACCATAGATTAAAATACCGGTAATCCCACCATAGATGACAATTCGTTGTCAATATGATACGCGCCGCGCCATTATTCTATGGCTAGAAATTGGCCTCAATGATTTGGGATCGAGGGGGATTATCCCTCTTTATCCTGCCTCATCTCGTGTAGGCCTGGACAGCCTTCGTAGGTGGGCCCCATCCGTCGTCTACCCCGACCGCAAATGCGGCCGGTGTAGGCGCTTTGTGGGACCTCCTTTTGTCCTGGCTGGGCCCCGCCGGCTAGGGCCCTTTCTTCTGGCGCTCTTCTTGCTTCGCCGGCTCGTCTGTGTAAACCCCGGGGGTAGTGTCATGTTTATGTGTGGTATGGTTGGGTAGGGTAGTGCGGCTATGCAGCCTGGGATGCGCTTTGCTAAGGTGGCCCTTAGGCTAGCGCGGGAGGG